TTGGTTGATGTGAGATCTTACAATCCACCCCACTTAAGGGGAACTCGGCGTAATCACCAGCACACTCGCACCGAACGGCATAGTGGCTCTAATACCATTCTGTCACATCCCAGTCTCGACTCCGCCCTAACACGATATTGTTCGCTTTGGGCTTAACATTCCCTTACGCATTTGTTTATGGGAGCTCAGACTAGAATTTCCCAATGGGTTACCTATCCTGGGAATGCTCTCGCCCTAACTCGTTTAACTTCGGAGTTTCGATGGAATCCAGAGCTAGTGAGTTCCCAAAAGGCCTCATGCTAGAGGGAAGAGAGCATGTACATATACGGCATATCACCCTATCTCCGTTGGTCGATGTGGGATCTTACAATCCACACCACTTAAGGGGAACCCGGTGTCTTCGCCGACACATCTGCACCGAACGACAGAGTGGCTATGATACCATTCTGTCACATCCCAGCCTTCGCCATAGCACGATATTGTCCGCTCTGGGCTTACCATTCCCTCACGGTTTTTTTTTTGGGTTTCGACTAGAGAACTTCCCAGGGGGGTCACCTATCCTAAGACTGCTCTCGCCCAAACTCACTTAACTTTGGAGTTTTTCTGGGATCCAGAGCTAGTGAGTTCCCAAAAGGCCTCGTGTTATAGGGAAGGAGCATGTACATATAAGGCACATCACCACCTCTCCGTTGGTCGATGTGGGATCTTACAATCCACCTCACTTAAGGGGAACCCGACGTCCTCGCCAGAACATCTGCACTAAATGGCAGAGTGGCTCTGATACCATTATGTCACATCCCAGCCTCCATCGTAGCACGATATTAGAAAGTAGACTATATTAGAAAGTGAAGTATGAAATTAAGTAGTTTGGAACTTTAGAATGTTAATTTGACTTGGTAAGAATGAATTGGTATTTCAATTAGTATGAAATTTCAAAATGGTATGAGGTAAAAAGCCTAAATTTCAATTGACATGAAATTAAGCAACAATATTTCGGGCCAAGAGCTCAAATTTTAGCCCACAGCCCAAAAATCTCAAAATTCAGCCTAAAAATCCAAAACCCAAAATCCAGTCCCGATCCATCTCGAAATATCGAAAACATTTTAGGAATTACGAAATTTTGGTTCAGGATTGGTCTTCAAATTCCTGTCCCGAAAATTTTCGATTTGGGATTCAGGATTCCATTTTCAGTTTGGGATCCCATACTTAACCACCCCTAGTTGGAATCCATAAATTCAACATCATTTCAATTACCCAGATCCTCCCTTTCCCTCCCGTTCCCTGTACCCTCTCCTTGCACAAGTCTCTCTGCCTATGAAAATTTACATATCTTTAAACGACAGAAAAAACTCGAAGTATATATATCTAAACAAACATCGTTGTTAAATATCAAAACTACCTATTCTTTGTCAACGAAAGGTGGGTGAAAATATTATTTAGTCTTCTATCACCAAAAAAAAAAAATTATATATATATATATGGGCAATGTAATTTCACCAAATCAAAAATTGTTATTTTTTATTAAAGCATCACCTATATGTGATTTTAACATATATCTAATATTAAAAATAGAAAAACAAAAACATCCCTTCCACTTTGTACCTCTCTCCTTCCCATTTTAAAAACAAAAAAAAATGTTAACATACACCAACATTACTGACCATTATGTGGATCAATTTAATGTGAACATCTGTCATTTGAACAAGTAAACATTTGTCAATTTAATTATTAGGATAGGTTTCAAATGACAGATGTTTACATTAAATTGCTCCACGTAGTGGTCAGTAATGTTGGTATGCTGACCATTCAGCATGCAAGTATTGTCCGTAAGCATACGCTAGTATTCAAATAAAAGAAAAGCGTTGGGTTTGATTTTTTATGGCCTTGACTATTTATACCACCTACCCTCAAATCCATCAAAATTCATCACGCATTGAAATTGTAGGAAATCTTTTGCATTCTCAATACAACTAGACATATGGATTTTTTTGAAATTCTAATTGACTACATTTGGATTTGAATGCATTCTAAAAAATCATGTTAAATTTTACTTTGAAAGTTTGATTATACCGTAGCCCAAAAAAGAAAAAAAAAATTGATTATACTATGATTTCAAATCTTAATTTGTCTATACAAGTTCCAGAGCCAACGTAAAATTGAGGTTGAGTTTTAGGGGTGGTTTGGGAGTGAGGTGCTTATAAAAAAGCACCCATGAAAAAAAGTTGTGAGGGTTTTAGGTGTTTGGTAAACTAAAAAAAATGGCTTATTTTGGAAGCTGCTGTGAGAATAAGCCAAAATCAAAGGAAAAGGCTGAAGCTGCTATTTGTAGCTTTGGAAAACTGGCTTTTTTTCAAAGCACATGGAGCTACAGTGCTCCTTTAATGAAAAGACTCACTATCAGACTTTTTTTTTTCCAAAAGCACTTTTACAAAAAAGTTTACCAAACACTCTACTGATTTATTTTACAGCCGCTTATTCTCACAGCACAACCGCTTATTCTCACAGCAGTTTTTTATCAAAGCACAGTAATACCAAACCAGCCCTTAGGGAACGGTGGTGAAAATAAGCCTTAAACCCTAGTTCCCCATCAAATTAAAAATGAAAGTAGAAATGAGTGATGCAAATGACTATATAGAAACAAAACTGTAATTTTCAAAGTCCAAAAGGGGTAATTCTGTCTCTAAATCGAAAACAAAATTGTTGCTGAAAAGAATACACTCCCATCAAAAACCCTAGCTCTGTAGGACTGCATCCCCTGGTCACATTAGGGTTCTTGCCTCTCTCTCACTCTTCATCCCAGAACCCTCCTGCGGCTGCTACCCGCCAATCCCAAATGGTCTCTCTCTCTCATCGGTTTCAATGTTTAATTTCTGCATTTGGGTGTTAATCAAGTTTGGTAATCGTGAGTTGGTTTTTGTGGGGTGTGGAAATGCAGGCTGAAGAGAAAAAGTTAGCGAACCCTATGAGGGAGATCAAGGTCCAGAAGCTGGTCCTCAACATCTCCGTCGGTGAGAGCGGAGATCGACTCACGAGAGCCGCCAAGGTACACCCTATTGCTAACCTCACCACCCATCCCACACGAATCCTGTACTACTTACTCATAGTATATGAATGTATATGTACTGTTATAATTGATTTAATTGTTTTTTGTTTGAAGGTGTTGGAGCAACTCAGTGGCCAAACACCCGTTTTCTCCAAAGGTAATTTTTTTACCCGTTTGAATTTTAGTGGTAATTCAGTTTTGCATCGTTTCATCAGTCTGCAGCTAGAAATTTGTATGCTTTTCATGGGTTCTGGGATTGGGGTTGACTACTGGTTTTTTGACGTGTTTTCGGAATCGAAATTGACTTTGAGTGCAGTATGAGTTTTCTAATTTTATCTGTATTGTGGATTCGTGGGATAGTTTTTGCGTATGATCTTATTCTCTGTGTTTAATCAGTACGTCTATATTTTTGCTTTTTGATTGCTTCTGCAGTTGAGCAATTTTGTCTACAATGCTTCAAAAGGCCGAAAGTTGAATTGAGTGTGGACTTCGTTCTGTTTCTGTGCTTTTTTCCCTTCTAGTTAGATGTGTTTAAGGTATTGGCTAATGACTTAGTTGTTAAGGAGTACAGCGGTTTGACGTAAGTCTGGGTTAAATTTGCCTGGTACAAAATATTTTTGCTTATAGACTAGCCTCTTCCGTTTTTAGCTTTATGGAACTATGTATTTTGAATGTATGAATTTTTTTAGTTTTCTTTTTCTACAACATATTGGATGGTAATTGTTCATTTGGTTTCTGATTATTTGTTGTATATTTTCATCTATTTCATACCGTATACATATGTGATTTTCTCACTTGCTATATCTAGCAAGGTACACTGTTCGATCCTTTGGCATCAGGCGTAATGAGAAGATTGCATGTTACGTCACTGTCAGGGGTGACAAGGCGATGCAACTTTTGGAGAGCGGTTTGAAGGTCAAGGAATATGAGTTGCTACGAAGGAACTTCAGTGACACTGGTTGTTTTGGATTTGGAATCCAGGAGCACATTGATTTGGGAATCAAGTAAGTCGTTTTATTCCACAATACTTGTTCCTCCATTTATTTACTCTTTTAAATCTGAGTCATGGGTACCTTTATTATCTTACTACAAGTTAATGTAATTTGAAAGTACTTTTTTCCTAATTGCAAAATTTCATAATTTTCGTCGAAAGCAACCGATATCGATATAACCATCAAAATTTTCATAAATTTGCATATCGATATTTCCACCAACAACGAAATCACTGATAGAAACTTTGGGTGAATTTGATTTTTGTTTTCAAGACATCCCATTTTACCTTATTAGTTATCGTTGCCCAGTATTGTGGACTCTTTGGTGCTTTGCCTGTTTCATGTATCCAGTGGGATGTTACTATCATGGTATGTTGACTTTTCGTTCTTATTCAGTCCGTTGTTTCCTCATTCCTCTTTATTTATTTTCTTTCAGGTACGATCCTTCTACAGGTATCTATGGAATGGACTTTTACGTTGTTCTGGAGCGTCCGGGATACCGTGTGGGTCGACGTCGCAGGTGCAAGTCTCGCGTCGGGATCCAGCACAGGGTCACAAAGGATGATGCCATGAAATGGTTCCAGGTCAAGTATGAGGGAGTGATTCTTAACAAGTCGCAGCAGCTCTCAGCTTCGTAGGCCCTTAGGATCGTCAAATTAATTTGATCAGTCTCTATGACCGGCTTCTGTTAATTTTCAGTTTTGCAAAGCTCGAGTTAGCGTTTGGAGCGAAGTATGTTAATTTGTTTTTTGACTTATAAAGCTTTTGGAAGTTATTATATATCATTAGAGTTGCCTGGAATTTCGGTTTCTTTGATTCATACTTATCGCAACACTTGGGAGAATTGAAACCTCACAGCATGAATGATGCGGTTAACCTTGTTGAATTTCCCAAACATTCAAGGATAAAACGGCAGGAACTTTACAGAAATGTAGCCATTGAGATGCAAAATACACATTTCAAAGTCCGTCTAAAATTTGGCAGCTACTTTTATTTGGGGGTTTAAAACACAAGTTCACAAGGCGGCGCAAGTCAAAGGCGTTTTCAACATCTATCCAACATATTTCTCACAAACCGTATGGTTTAAAATCGTAAACTAAGCAAGCCCGATCTTTTCTTCTCAATACCAGATGCGCAATTCGACACCACAAGAATTACCGTATGGATGCAAATTCTCAAAGAAAAGTATAAACTTAAGAACACCACATCACGTGTAATACCATAACAGTTGAAAGAGTTGAAAAGGTTTACCCCATGTTCTCTAGAGAGCCCCCAAAGAGTGTCTCCCTTCTCGATCTCTATCGTTTTATGCCATGACTTCCGCGTGACTTCCACATTTTGGTCCATCCTGGTAATGGTTTTCTGCAATAAAATCCACAAAGCAAATCAACGTCAATGGGCTTAGCATTTAATAAAATCCCCAGAAATAGTATGACCAATGTATCAAAATCTAAATCAGAATATGTAAAGCGTTTTTGGTAAAATACACTAATGATTTGATCACTCAAATAAAAATAAAAATTCAAAAATCCACAGACAAATCGAAACAAACAGGGAAATGGGTGACCCCAAAATGTCAAATCGTAACTTGCACGTACCCGAAGAGGAGGGTGTGGTTCCTTGACAGTGATGGGTTGCTGCTGGGGAGGGAGAGGAAGCTGGGACGGAAGCTGAATGGGTTGAGTTGACTCGGCGAGTGGAGGAGTTTGCTCATTTCTGTTTTTGTTAAAAAGGGTTTAGAGCTTTGAGAATGCTCATAGCGATGCCGGAGAACACCACTAAGCCGGCAGTCTTGGTGACGGAGTTGTCGTTGGAGTTGCCGTTGGAGTTGCCGTTGCCTGCGGTGGAGCTTGGGTCGGACATTGATGGTTGGTGGGATTTGGAGAGTAATTGAGCGGAGGACGCAGAAGTGAGAAGGGCTTAAGACTTTTTGTTGGGGTTTTGGGGGTTTTCGGTGTCTGGTCGATCTCCGATTTGGCTTTCAAGGAGCATTTTTCTGCTTACCAAGTACCGATCGATACGTGAAGTTTTTGTTTGTGTCTTAATACAGGCTACATTGGTGATGGCCTAATTCCTCTTTTTCTTGGCGCCCCGATAATGCATAAAGCGATAACGTACTTTTAATTTTGTTTGTATTTCTTGTAAGAAAAGAATTATTGTTGAGAAATGCAAATTTGAGATTTAAAAGTCACATTTATATTTTTGGGAGGTGTAGACATACTACATCAATTGGAGAACAGATTTTTCTATGTGACCGAAACACTGCCTAGTACATCACGTGCTATAAGATGAGTGGAGATAAGTTTTTTTATTTTTAAGTATCCATCCACTTCTATTAAGATACGTGATGTATCAAACTGCATTATAGGTACATTGAAAAATCCATCCAATTGGAAGGACACAAATTTGATATCTCATTTACTTTTCTCTTTTAACTAGAAGGTCCACCTCCTATAAATCTTCTAGTTCCACCCTCTTTACAACTCCTAAAAGATTTCTTCCTCGAAAGTCATGTATGGAACCGATACATCACAACGGTGCTATCCCATGTTAAAAATGGAAGGACATGTGAAAATAAACTAACACGTCTTCTTATATTATCAACACGAGACATTATCATCATAGTAGTATACATGTGTCAATGTGTCATACAAGTTCCCATCGCTTCCTGGGGTCATGAGGGGTTTGCAAGATAGGTGAATATTGAATAGATTTTTTTTTTTTTTTTAACAAATAGTTCTAGTGTGTAAAGGCTCCCCATGGCAATAGGCAATTAAATCCCCTCAAGTGAATAGTAACCACCTTTAATGAATAATAATTGTCTATTGCATCTCCACCCCTAAACTGGACAGCCTAGGCAATTCATATTAAAATATTAGTATTTTTTATTTTATAAAATAATAAAAAATAATTTTATTTTTAATTTTGGATAGAATTTTTAACCGATCTCGTCACGCCGCGTGTCATTATCCTAAAGCACAATTTTTGTAGATAGGTTGATAAGATTTTTAACCAATTTCATCGAGCAACCTGTCCTTACCTGTTTAGAATCGTTGAAAATATTGAATTGTAGTGTAAGGTAGGAGAAAATGGTAAGGTATTTATAGAATAAAAAATTATAACTTTTTTTAAAAAAAAAATTGAAATTTTTTCTAATTTTTAATTATTTAAAAAAATTTATTAACTTAATTAATCTAAACCGTTGGATTACAAAAAAATTGAAATCCAACAGTTCAGATTGTGACACGTGGCCCACAATAACATTTTTGTTTTTTTTTCTTTTTTTTTAATTTTTAAAGCGAAAAAACGTGGACCATTGATCTGAAAATCAAACAGTCCAAATTCAACGGCTACTAAGTGGGTTACCATGCAGGCCCCACTGCCTGAAATCTTGTTGATGATGCCCCCCCCCCCATATGCCTGACACAAAAAATTTTATAACGTGGTTGACGTCACTCCTCCTTAGGCGCTCAGGCCTAAGACATGGCCTAATCTCTTCCAAGGGTTCCCTCAGCCCAATTGCCCGAATGGGGTGGGGTGAAGGGTAAATATTGGGTCCTATTCCCTTCTTAACCAAAATTTTCTTTTCTTCAAAACAAATGATAAGAGGATTCAAATACACGACTTTGGGTGTAGCAATACAATCTCTTTAAGTCTTAACCACTTGAATTGTAAATCTCGTACTCTTTTTTACTAGATTTGATTACCATCATTAATAGGTGAATGAGATATTATTGATCTTTGTAATAAAGTAATAAAAAAAAAAGTAAAAGACCGTATAATTTAATATTTTGTTGTAGGCCTATTTGATCGAACGATCTAGGGTTTAGAGAGAGAGGGGGGGTGGCTATGTTTAGAGAGAAAAGATATTGATTTAATTGTGAGGTGTGTTTGATTCACCCCATTGTGCCTTTATTTATAATAGTAGGATAGGTAAAAACCGTTCCCTTTAGGATTACAACATTTAATAGGTAATCTACTCCTAATATGAATATAAGATACATTCCCATATCTACTAGGATTTACACAATCACATTCTTATTCTAAATAGTGTAAATACTCAACAAACCATCACATCAGATCTTCAGTAGATAAGGTAGAATAGTTGATGAAGTCATCGGCACAACGGGTGATCACGAGTCTCAAATTTAAGTGAAGTATGCATTTGTAGTAAAATTCACAAAACCTCGCTATGGTAAAACCCAAGGCAGGGGAAAACCCATAGACTAAGGAGAAAAGTGAGAAGTATGCATAATGTCTTTAAACAAACGTCAAACAGGACGAAACTAGTGAACTCAACGAAGTATGATCATCCCAGGATGGGTGCCTCATTAAACATCGTTAGTTAGCAAAAACCTAGTGGGAAAAATGCTCCTAATCGTAGGAAAAAGAGTACATTAATATCATGTGAGTATGCTTCTAGATACTCCTCCTGAGTTAGACATAACTTCTAAATAAGAGAACTATAAGCGATTCAACTCAGATAATTTACACATACCGATTCCTTGGACGAGCTTCTGAAAAGTAGACTTGGGCAATGACTTGGTGAAAAGATCTGCCAGGTTGTCCTGGGAATGGATTTGCTTGACTTCAATGTTCTGATATTAATGTTGTTGGTGTGAGTAAAAGAACTTCAGCGTTATGTGCTTGGTGTTGTCTCCCTTGATTTATCTTTTCTTCAACTGCTCGATACATGCTGCATTGTCTTCAAAGATCGTTATAGGAAGGTCAACGACTGATGTAAGACCACTAGTGCTTCGAATGCATCCCATAACTTCTCTCAACCATAAGCATTCACGCAATGCTTCATGCAGGGCAAGAATCTTAGCATGGTTCGACGAAGTTGCAATTAGCGTTTGCTTGGTAAACCTCCAAGATATAGTAATGTCTCCAACGGTAAAGACATAACTTATTTGAGAATGTGCCCTATGTGGGTTAGACAGATATCCAACATCTGTGTAACCAACAAGGCGAGAATCAATCCAAAGACCATAGGGGGCGACAACATTCAGAGATTCATGGGTATAGAACAAGCCCAAATCCGGTGTACCTTTGAGGTAGCGGAAAATGTCTTTAACACCATTCCAATGTCTGCGTGTAGCCACATTGTTGCATCTTGCCAAAAGATTCACAACGAATGAGATGTCAAGTCTAGTGCATTGAGCCAAGTACAATAAAGCCCCAATTGCACTTAGGTAAGGAACTTCGGGTTCCAAAATCTCTTCCTCATCCTCCTTTGGACGGAAGGATCTCATTTAGCATCTAGAGTTTGAGATCATGAGTGTACTCGAAGGTATCGCTTTATCCTCATTAAAACGACGCAACACATTTTGGGTGTAGTTCGATTGATGTACTAGGATTCCATCCGAACAATGCTCGATCTCCAGGCTAAGACAATATCGAGTTTTCCCAAGATCTTTCATCTTAAATTCCGATTTCAAGTGTGCAGCAATTTCCTCAAGCTCTACAAGAGTCCCAATGAGGTTCATGTCATTGACCTAAACTGCAAAGATTGCAAATCCGGAATGTGACTTCTTTATGAACACACATGGGCATAATTCATTGTTCACATAATCCTGACTTGTCAAATATTCACTCAGACGGTTATACCACATCCGCCCAGATTGTTTCAATCCGTAGAGTGACCTCTTCAACCTAATTGAGAGAGTGTTTCGTGGTCTAGAACTATTTGAATCAGTCAATGCAAGTCCTTATGGAACTTTCATGTAAATTTTTGTATCTTAGATCCCCATAGAGATACGCTGTTACCACGTCCATCAGCTGCATATTCAGTTTGTTAAAAACTACCAAACTGATTAGGTAACGGAACGTTATAACGTCCATTATGGGGGAATATGTCTCCTCATAATCAATCCCAGGGTGCTAAGAAAAGCTTTGCGCTACGAGGCGTGCTTTGTATCACACTATTGCATTCTTCTCATTACGCTTCCTTTCGAAAACCCACTTGTAGCCAACAGGCTTCATGCGTGGTGTGTAGGAATGATAGATCCAAATACCTTATGTTTCGCAAGCGAATCGAGTTCAACCTGGATTTCTTGTTTCCAGTTTGACCAATCAGTTCTATGTCGGCATTCATCGATGAAACGTGGTTCAATGTCATCACTAAGCATGATGTCAGTAGCTACTGAGTACACGAATGTATCATCGAAGATCATCTCATTCATATTCCAAATCTCATCCAAGATTGCGTAGTGGACCAAAATCTCACCATTCTCTGAGGGCCGGCATGTTTCGTCTGAAACATCACGGTAATCTAGAATAACCTCATGCGTTGGAACGGATGAGTGAGCGATGGTCGGATTCAAACTAGGGTCACTAGTTGGTGCCATTTTTCTCTTCCGGGGTTGTGAATCCATTGAACCAAGGGGTCTGCCATGCTTCAGGGTCGAAACAGATGATTGGCTAACCACCAATGTACCTTGCCGCGTGAAGGGTGCAGCCTCCCGAAATGGTCCGGCCTTCCCAGGCGGGTTGTTGACATACACGGGGTACATCTATCCTTGCATGTGTGTTTGCAGCGGGTATAAGTGATCTTGTCACCTTTGCTAGATCATTAAAAGCATTCGGCATGCTTTGAGCAATGCTCTGAAGATCTATAATTTGTCGCACCTCAATTTCAGACTGGGCAATGCGAGGATCTAAATGAGACATAATGGGAGCATACCACCACAATTCGCAGCGTTCTACAGGAACGTTAGCATGCTTATCTCCCCTTAACGACAGGAAGACTGTCTCTTCAAAGTGACAATCCGCAAAACGTGAGGTAAAAAGATCCCTTGTCAAGGGTTCTAAGTAGCGAACAATTGATGGCAAATCATAACCGACATAGATTCCCATTTTTCTCTATGGACCCATTTTGGTACGTAGCGGTGGCGCTATTGGCACATAAATGGCGCACCCAAACACCCGTAAATGCAAGACGTCAAACTCGTATCCAATGACCAACTGTAACGGTGAATGTAGTTGAGTAGCGGTGGGCCTCAGGCGAACCAACATAGCTGCGTACAATATTGGATAGCCCCAGGCAAATACCGACAGTTTGGTTCTCATAACCAAAGACCGAGCAATCAATTGA